ACGCTATTCTATACACAGTAGTATTCATCTTAGAAATAAACTTTATTCCAGAAATGTATTTATCATTATTTGGTACTTGTAATTAAACTTCTACAGAAACAATACTTGTAGAAGTGATCAAATTCCATGTATTAATTTGCTAGGGATGCCAGAACAAAATATCACACATGGGGTGGCTTAAACAACAGAAGTTTATTTTCTCATCATTTTGGAGGCTCTAAGTCCAAGATCAAGGTGTTGGCAGGTTTGGTTTCTTCTGAGGCCTTGGTTTGCAGATATCTGCCCTCTCCCTGTATCTTCTCATGGTCTTTCCTCTGTGCACACCCCTGGTGTCTCAGTGTGTCCAAATTTCCTTTTCTTATAAAGATACCAGTCAGATTGGATTAGGGCCCACCCTAACAGCCTCATTTTAACTTAATCACCTCTTTAAAGATCTTTTCTCTGATATAGTCACATTCTGAGGCAGTGGGGGTTAGGACTTTCAACATATGAATTGCGGCGGAGAGGGGAGGAGACATGATTCAGCCTGTAATCCTTCAGAAGAACATATTTTAATCCTTTGCTTCATTATCACAGTGCTTAACATTTTAAAGAATACTCTGACAAACCAGAAAGCCTTGTACTATTATTTTTCTGTGTTTAAAGTTTCATTGTAAAGATTGTATATGTACTTTAAAGAAATGTGTGAAATTAAGGGAAAAAACCCACCATCATTCCCACTTTGCAGGTGCGGCCACTGTTAGCACTTCCTGTACACAGGTACCCTTCCCAATAAGTAGACATTTAGATTGCTTTTATTTTTTTCTGTTATTGCACTTAGAAGAAGTTCTTTGACCCAAATTTTTGTACACAATTTGTCTTATTTCCTTGGGATAAATTCCTTTAAGTAGATATAGTACTTTTTCAGTGGTAAGATGCATTTTAAATTTCCATTAGGATTTGCTGAGGATACATCTTAGGTTAGTCTCAAGAGAGGAGCACCCCCGTCCCTCCTCTTCACTCCCTCTCCCTCACATTGGCCTAATTGTCTGGAAGCTGTTATTCTGTTGGGGAGGAAGAGGAGTCTGGATAGAATGTGATCCCTTTAGGAGCAGGAGTACCTCTAATTCCTGAGGCAGCAGAATCCTGGCCTTTGCTGTGGAATGCCGAATGGACACCATTAACCTTTATATTATTCGTTGTATTATTCTTTGTATCTTTGTATTATTCTTAAGTTGGGATTCTTTAGCAGCAAATAACTTACTGAGTTTTTTAATATGAGATCTGTTAACTTGTTCAAAATAGTTTTTAAATATCTTCTTTTTTCTATAATTGACATTACTCTGGAAAATACAAAAAGCTTATTTTGATACGTCTGAAAGTAGTAGAAGGAAGTAAAAGAACAATGAAGATAATTATATTTGAAATGCCTTATGATTGTGTTTTTAATTCTCAAAAATATTTCTCAATTTTCTTTATAGATAACGTATTTGCCATAAAATCTTGGGCCAAAAGAAAATTTGGGTTTGAAGAAAATAAAATTGATAAAAGTTTTGGAATTCCAGAAGACTTTGACTACATAGACTAAAATTTTCAATGGTGTGAAGGATCTATGAGCTTGTGAATATGTAAATTTTTTAATATTATTCAACTAAATGTACTAAACTGTCATTTACATGTAACTTTGTTTATTATTTTATTAATTTTAAATAAAGTATAACATGCATTTGTTCTTCACCCTTTTTAGTAGATTAAGCAGGATGGTAACCAGATCCCACAGTGCTCATCAGAGTAGAACAGTGCAAGTAAAGCCAACCTCAGTCAAGGCAGGTTTACAGATGACTTTTTAAAGGCCAAAGCCATGACATCATAACATTTTTAATTTCATTCAAATGTTAAATTCTAAGGGTGCATTTGAAGGCTCTGTCATACACATATACATACACATAAATGCTAAGACATAACTTTTAAAACCCTAGTACCTGCTTTACTATTTCCCAATATTTGGTGGAAAATAAATGTGACTGGTACTCAGTATACTGCATCATCTTTGCAGATTTCTCACACAAGAATATACAGAAAGTTGGTGTTTCTCAAATTTAGAGTTAAATAATAATTCCTCAGACATGAAGACAACTACTTTCTTTTGAGTTTTTGATGCCTTTCTATTGGAAAGAACAAGCATGTGGTCCTTTGTCCAGCTTTTTGCACTTTTTATAAGATGATACAAACAATTGTGTTTATGTAGCACACATCACAAACTCTATAAAATTCTGAAACTTTTCCTTAACTAAAAGAAGAATAGGTTAAAAATAACATATATCCCATGTATATATCTCTTTGCAGTTCAGCTTAGCCATTTAGAGTATTTGCAGTCACTCCAAAACAAATTTAAAGAAAAAAAAAATCAAAACTAATGTGTGTAGTGCTCTTTATACATGCCTTAATTTTTTTTTTACACTGACCAATTTTGATATTCTTTTAAGTAACTTGAGTGAAATGTTCCATGTATCTGAAATGACCCATATGGCATCCAAACCATTTGTTAGTGAATCTGGCCTTTGTATTGCATGGAGTTCCTCCAGGCCTACTTAAATCACTTCCTGGAGGTGGCCAGAGCAAATTGGTCCATCTTTGTTCTTGAGACCAGTTTGTGTTGCCTTAGGGCAACAGCTCTTCTCACAGAAGAAAGTATTAGATGTAAGAGACAAAAGACAAAAAATAAGAATAACCCCCCATAAGCCTTTCCCTAAAACATTAATTGTGGGAATTCCAAAATTTTTCAGACCCAGTTTGCTATTTATTAGAAAAGATTCTTCCTTGTTTAGAAAGAAGGTATGTATGTTCAAAAAATAGGCCATTTTTAATGATCCCTTAGAAAGATGATGTTTTATATTAAGGCAACTTGAAAAAAATAATTTACGTCTCTATGGGGCTAGCACAGGAATGAGCAAGATGAGGTCTGTACATGAGCTAATCAGAGGTAATGGCACCCTCCTAAGCCAGTAATGTGGTGGTAAGTGTTTGATAACTGACTCTCTGGAAGTGGGAGAGGGTGCTAATTTATAGTATTTGCCTATTATGTGGTGTAAATACTACCAGCATTGCCAATTTCAGGTTACCAATGTGATGACAATGCAGAAAAGGGAAAAGATGCTCAGTAACACTCCATTCTGTGGTATTTCTACCATACAGATAGAATAGATAATATTTATATAAATAATCTCAAGAGCATAGGTAATAATAAAATAATTAGGTAGTGATGAGTTTTTGGTATTTAGTATCTCTTTTTAATATAATATATTTCACCATAGGTTATATAATTTAATCTTTAAAGATGGCCACATTTAACAGCTGGTTCACTCTTAAACAGTTGACTTGCCTGCTCCAGCATATCACTGTTGTTAATCTTTTAGAGCTGCTTTTGAGTTTGCTTTTGCCTGAAATTAAGCATACTAAGAGGCCCACGGGCATTGGTCCTGCCAAGCTTTAGGTAATTCTTAGTCTTGGGTTGGTTTTGTTCTTGATCTGAAGATTTAGTCCAACTTGGGTAGACTTAGAATCATATTACAAGTTATGCAGGACCAAATTTGATTCAGTGGGTCATGCTATAATTAATAACAAATTGTGAAGTTTAAAAGCTATTTGAGGGCCGGCCTGGTGGCGCACTAGAGAGTGCACTGCTTGGGAGTGCGGCGGCGCTCCCGCTGAGGGTTCGGATCCCATTTGGAGACAGGTTCCCGCTCACTGGCTGAGCATGGTGCGAGCGCAACACCAAGGGTTGCGATCCCGTTGCCGGTCAGTAAAAAAGACAAAAAGGAAAAAACAAAAAAGCTATTTGAGAGCTGATATTAATCTTATCAATGTCCTTCAAATGTAGTTGTTTTTGAAATCTCACAAATATCTATCCTATTTTCAAGAGGTTCTAAAAATATTTTATAATCTCCTAGAAAGATCCATAGTTGTCCACAGCCAGGTCAAATCACTGAAATGCCCCTTCTGTGGTTTGGCTCGGACCAAAGTATTCCATAAGGATGAATTGGGTATGACTTCTCCCCTGATGTTTGCCACATCATTAGTCTAATGGGATTACAAAGTTCATGGCTAGTCTCAGAAGTAGATGCTGTTATCCTTAACTTTATCAAATATGATTCTCTTTAAGGGATTAGAAAAGGAAATGAGTACAGCTGGCAGCCAAGAAACACGAACCACCCTAATATTTCTTGAGTAGAAAAGTCTAAATTGTAAATCTGATGGTACTGTTTTTTGAGAACGTGTTTGGATAAAATATCTAGAAAACATTTTTCAGCTAATATGGTATAATGTGTATATGATGGAGGTGGGATGGTGTCTCAAAAGTACGCATAAACTTCCTTTCAGGATAAGCTTCCTGGATATTGTTTATATGTCAGGAGGAAAAAGTATTGCATTATGAAATGCCCCAATGCAGTGAATTTATATATATTATACTTATCTCAGCCTTTTTTAAAAAAAATTTTTTGTGAGATAGAGATGTCAGCCAGTGTGGCTGTCTTGTAATAAAGTGCTCATTGTTGAATCTCAAGGTTAATGGTTTCTATTAACCAAAATTGGTAAACTACTACCCTGAGGGTGAAATCCAAAGCCTGTTTTTAATTGTCTTTTTTACCTTTTTTTTTAATGTTGTAAAAACAAATAAATGAACAAACAGGAATATGCAACAGACTGAATGTGGCCTACAAAGCCTAAAATATTTACTGCCTGACTCTTTATGGAAAAAGTTTGCCAACCCCTGAAATGTCAAAAACTGACAGTGTGTAGGCGAGATATGACCTACAAGATGTATTTATTTTTTATTTAAATTAGTTGCCAACATATTCAAACTGTAAAATGTTACATGCAAATTGAGATTTTCAGCTTCTTTTGGAAACTGGATGATTTAGCAACCATAAGTCTCAATCTGCGTGGCCGCACATCAGCTAGAGGTGAGTGGGGTTGGCTCAGTAGGATTACAGAGTAGTGAGTTCATTTATTAGAGAAACACCAGCATACAGCTTTCTGTAAGTCACGGTTTTGTGTCAAATTGGCAAACTGACTTGAGATTGAAATTTAGTTTCAACTTTTCTAATTCTAGAAAAAAAATCCTGGTGCTATGTTTTATTGCGTTTTTATTAAATTTATAAATTAACTTAGAACTGATGATATCTTCATGATGATGAAATCCTATTCAAGAACAAAGGATGAA